CTGCCCATTGCTGGGTCTGCTGTCCACCTCTCGTGATCCACCTGGAGCAGAAAGGAGAAAGTGGAAAGGAGAAAAGAAGGTATTCACCTCCCACAGACAACATCTGCTGCTGAGCACCACAGGTCCAATTTGCTAGAAGAGGAATTTTCAATTGCACATTTGAAGCACAAACTGACCTTGGTTTACCACCAGAAAGAACAAGAAATCCACAGCAAATAACCTCAAAAAAACAACTGTGTTACTGAAATCGGGTTTCCCATTCATGCATCCTCTAGAAATATCTGCTGTGAACAAAACATGAGCACCTGACGAGCAGACTGCTGCTGCAGCATACATTTTTCAGGCTGCTATTTCCACAGGCTGTTACTTCTACACACAACAAAAATTGCCAACTCCACCCTGCGATTTCACGCACCTCATTTATCTGGCTAATTTATCAACACGCAATCTTTCAACATGGTCGAAGAAAGCCTTTCTGTCAGAATAATGACAGCTTGATGAATCTCTGTATGACCATTTCCAGGCCTTTTGAGCCACCATCAGTGGTGAGCCTAAAGCTGACGTTGCATTGGCATTACCAGTAAGGAGAGGTACGGGCAAAGCCATTGCTGTGGAACACAGTCTGTTCTGTAACTTAAAGTCATGTGTTAAACTTAACAGTTTGTTCTGTAACTTAAAGGTGTGCTAAAGTATTTCATCAACAGCTTCAGAAAGCAGAAGATGCTCGGAAAATAAGCTGCAGTATCCTGATGACTGGCTGAACAATTTCTGTGGATACTTCTACTCTTGCTAAAAGCAGCACTGCAAAACAGGTATGTAATGTGTAGATGTTTCCTCTTTGAATTCAGCTCTAGAACAAGTAAGCAGGTATCACCATGCAACAAGATAAATGAAAAGTTAGGGCCTTGAATTTAAATGGCTAAGCCACATCTACAGAGTTAATGAATCGTCTCAATTTGCAAAAGGCTCCAGAGATTAAAAGTCTGCTCACCTCTAGCCTCATCCCTCTAGCTCAGAGATAAATAACAAGTTCATTCATCTAAGAACTCACAGAGGGTCAGCCTGCCTGAGCCAAACAACAGTCAAGTATATCAAACAGAAACACTAATCATCAGCTGCTGTTCATTTAACTACTCCAAAGAACCAGAGAAGTGCCTACAGCCCTTGTGGTCAGAGGCCACAGAATCACAGAGTGGTTGAGGTGGGAAGGGACCTCTGGAGGTTGCCCGGTCCAACACACCTGCTTGCCCAGGACTGTGACCAAAAGATCTTCACAAATGCAGCCTCCACCACCTCCCTGGGCAACCTGTCCCTGTGCTGGGTCACCCTCACAGTGAAAAAGTGTCTCCCAATGTTCAGACAGACCTCCACATATTTCAGTTTGTGCCCACTGCCTCTGGTTCTGCTTTACATCCAGGACCTTAACACCACACTAAAACTATGTCAAATGCTGCTTCTTAAAAGAGCTCTGCACCGAGGATAAAGACTAAGACAAACTGAGACCACCTCCTTTTTACTTTAAAAGAGCTGAAGGCAAAGATCACAGTCCAGTTGCTGTGTGCGTATCACCTCCCCAGAGAGCCTGGGAGGAACCAGGCTGCAGGACAGCCTGGCTCACAGAATCACAGAATTCTCAGAGTTGGGAGGGACCTCTAGAGATCATCTAGTCCAACTCCCCTGCCAAAGCAGGATTGCCCAGAGCACATTACTCAGGACTGCATCCAGGCGGGTCCTGAAAATCTCCAGAGAAGGGGACTCCACAGCCTCCCTGGGCAGCCTGTGCCACTGCTCTGTCACTCGAACCGTAAAGAAGTTTTTTCGTGTGTTGGAACGGAACTTCCTATGTTCCAACTTGCACCCGTTGCCCCTCGTCCTGTCACTGGGAACCACCGAGAAGCGTGTGGCTCCATCCTCCTTCAACCCACCTTTTAGATATTTGTAAGTAGTAATAAGGTCTCCCCTCAGCCTTCTCTTCTCCAGGCTAAAGAGTCCCAGCTCTCTCAGCCTTTCCTCATAAGGGAGATGCTCCAATCCCTCAATCATCTCCAGAGCCCACCGATCAGACAGGCCCACGAACCCACGCCAGGCTTGGGTTTTACCAACCAATCCCTTGAAAAGGCTTGCAGGCTTTAGCTTCTGCATGAAGACAACCTGCAAAATCTTATTCCTTCAGAGGAAGCTCTGCTTTACAATTGTCACAGTCATCCTTCCAAAAGAAAAGGGTTTGGCAGGCCGCTCTCCACTTTCAACAACCAAGAGCAAGTCTGACAGTCCTACAGAGCAGACATCTTCATGCCAAGTATTGACATTCTTGGCTAAAATTTGAAAAAAAAATACTACTATGACAGATCCAGAGATTATTTGGTATTTCAAGCTGTACGGAGTAGCAATTTGGTCTGAGTATCAAGTCTACCTGAAGAAAAATGGAGTTATACCAAACACCTGATAACACTTATTATGCAAGTAATTTTGTATAAGGTAGTTTCTTCAGCTTTTCTTTTTTAAAATCCTCATTAGGTCTTAAATGAAGTAAAACAACAGAGCTCTGATGTTTCACAGGAAAAATGCTCATCCAAAGTAATCCTACTTCATTTCACCACTAACATTTTTATGAAAAGTCACTTCCTTCCATGGGTTAAGCAGTTATATTTGGACTATGAAAATGAAGAAAACCTCATAAAATTGAAAAAACTAAACTAAGTGTCATGGGCTAATAATATATACTTCTGTAAGACCTACCCATACTAACACAAAAAAAACCCTAAAAAATTACAAAGAATACTAAGAAGCCTACGGGTACAGTATAAGGAATATACTGTAAAACAGAAAAAAGTTAAATGTAGCAATATTCTTCCAGAAATTGCTAGGCTGTGGACTGACTTTCTAGACACGGGCTAGAAAATAAAACCACTGTTCCTACAGAGCTCAGGACCGTCAAACCAGAGTATGCTTGGGATTTCTTGGTGTTGAAGTTGTAAAAGCCTACATGACGGGCCACACACAGGTCTGGAGCCCTGCACTGCAGGTTAAGTCATTTCTTCCAGCGGTTATCTAGAAAGATCGATAAGAGCAAGGGAAATTGAAAAGTACTGATGAATAGACCTTATCGGCTATGGGTGTACAAACACACAGGAAACACAGGATTTGCTGAGTCCCACTTGCTGAGGCTCCTGGAACAGGAAAAAAATAAGGGCAAAACATACAGGAAATGTCGCATCAGAACACAACAGTAGTCAGCGATGGGTGGCATTAGCAGAAGTACCCAAAAGCAGAAGTATTCATGGATAGTGGGAAGAAACAAGTACAACTGTGTAGGCCTGTTAATCTGACCTCAACAGCATGCAAGATTGCAAAATAAAATGCATAAATATATACATGAGAGCTATTCCAGTTAAAAGTGCATTGGCATATGAAAACAGGGACAAACTGGGCAAAAATACATTCAGGCAGAGCTTCAGTAGTGTTCTTAAACCTCACAGCAGAGATGTAGGCTTCCAGCAAAGTAGGCTTCCAGAAGAGCTTGCACTGGAAAACACACTCAGGTGTGCAGAATGTGTTCTATGATGGAGTTATTGTTCCTCTGGAGCCTGAAAGAGAAAAGTTTGAGACAAAATGCCTAAAAAAAAAGCTGCTCTTGCATCTTCTGGCCTGATCCTTTTTTAACAAAAGGGTAATTTTTCACAGAGGTCCTTTAACAGACATTTAGTCAAGAGATGCTTGCTCAATTGCCTTCCTTCCAGAGTCTTCACTCTCACTTCTGGCAAGTGTCATCCCACTTGGTCTGAACTGTGGGTCTGCTGTCCCTCAGTAACGCTGGCCCTCCAGGAACAACGCTGTGCAACAAGGACATGGCTTCTAGCCACAAATACAGAAGCCACACGAAGCCAAGCAACATCCGAATACCCACTGTCATCTACGTATATGGATCATGATCCTTGTTTTAGAGAATGTGGTAAAGAGAAGCCAAAGGCAATTCTTACTGACTCATATCCATATCCTCATTATTAGGCTTATCCTGAATCCACAGCAATAACCTTCACGTTGCCTTAAACTGCCACTGCACCAGGGTGGAGTTAATGTTTTGGTGTACCAATCAGTTGTTTTATGACTGCTGCTCACTCAGGAGTTAAACTAAATGTCTGACTAGAAGTAAAAAAAAAAAAAAAAAAAAGCATAAATCTAGAAATGATTACTCTCTCAAATTTCCACAATGAACTTGCCCACACATGCACCCCAGCAGGGAAACAAGAACAGATCACTGTTTTCCAATCCACCTGATTTCTACAGAAAGAACCACCAAACACATGGATTTAGAGAGCAACAGCTAAACGCGGGAGTTTGAATTTTAACCTGAAGAGGAAAATACTATGACCACTATAGGTATAATCATCTAACCATTTCTCAGCAGAATACAGCACTATTAAAAGTCCTCCATTTTCAGAAATTGTCTCTCTAGATTAACCCCATCTACCAAGTACAGACAAGGTTAGTGCTCTTGGGTTTGCTCCCAGTTTTACGAAACAAACATTTATGTAAACAGGAATGTAGAAAAAAATAATCCAAAAGTGTTAAAAGTTTTGGACTAGAAACAGCTTTAAGTATAGCACGTGCTTCAAATAACATACTCCACTTCCGTGACAAATAAGGAACACTGACTAAAAATCTGCTTAAGTACCAAAGACTAGCAATCTATAGCTTCATGCAAGTCACTTCCCCCTAACTAGTAGTGTTAACTACTAGTTATGTTAAATCTTCATCTGTCATACTAAAAACAAGTCCAGTCTTCCTCCAGGTCAGGCAGACACTGAATTTTCTGATTTCTTAAGAGCTCTAATCACATATTAAGCTTTCCTATTTCATAATGAAAAAATAATCCACATACAAATAAGCAGGATTAAAGCATGAGTCACCTCCTCAATCTTAGATAATAGAGTGCGTAAGACAAAAGAGATAAAAATAAACTGAGCAGTTAGCCATGGCAGAACCAGCCCAGTAGAAATCTGCACCTTGAAGACATATTTCAAGTGTTCCACTGGAAAGGATCTGCTAGAAGGACAGCCAAAGCAATCCTGAACTACAACTCTGAACGTTCAGTGGATTTTCTAGCATCAGTTGGAACTGATGGGGGAGTTGAATTTGGTGGCTGTATATAACAGACGTCCAAGTTTGGATGATGCCAACTTTCACAGTAAGTATAGGACAGCATGCCCACCCTCAATGTCTTCTAACTAGAAAAGAATTACCAAGACAATCATGAAATCATAGAATGGTTTAGGTTGGAAAGGACCTTGAAGATCATCGAGTTCCACCCCCCCTACCATAGGCAGGGACACCTCCCACTAGACCAGGGTGCCCAAGGCCACATCCAGCCTGGCCTTGAACACCCCCAGCGATGGGGCCTCAACAACCTCTCTGGCAACGTGTTCCAGTGCCTTACCACCCTTAAAGTGAAAAACTTCTTCCTAATGTTTAATCTAAACCTGCCCTTTTCCAGTTTAAAGCCAGTCCCCCTCATCCTATCACTACATGCCCCAGCATGTAGTGACAGAAGACAAGTATTACTTATGAGCTTCAACTGCTTTACTTATACTAATGAGTGTGGTTGACATGCTGGAGGGAAGGGATGCCATCCAGACAGATATGGACAGGCTTGAGAGGTGGGCCTGTGCAAACCTCATGAAGTCCAACAAGGCCAAGTGCAAAGTCCCGCATGTGGGTCAGGGCAATCCCAAACACCACTATAGGCTGGGGGTATGAAGGGATAGAGAGCAGCCCTTGCCAAGGAGTTGGGGGTACTGGTGGTTGAAAAGCTGGACATGAGCTGGCAATGTGCACTCACAGCCCAGAAAGCCAACTGTATCCTCGGCTGCATCAAAAGAAGCATGGCCAGCAGGTCGAGGGAGGTGATTCTACACCTCTCTGCATCCAGCTCTGGGGCCTCCAGCAGAAGAAGGACACAGACCTGTTGGAGTGAGACCACAGGAGGGCCAAAGGGCTGGAGCACCTCTCCTGTAAGGACAGGCTGAGAGAGTTGGGGTTGTTCAGCCTGGAGAAGAGAAAGCTCCAGCGAGACCTTATAGCAGCCTCTCAGTACCTAAAGGGGGCCTACAGGAAAGACAGGGAGGGACTCATTATCAGGGAGTGTAGTGATAGGATGAGGAGTAACAGTTTTAAACTGAAAAAAGGTAGATTTAAATTAGATATTAGGAAGAAATTCTTTACTGTAAGGGTGGTGAGGTATTGGAACAGGTTGCCCAGAGAGGTGATAGATGCCCCATCCCTGGAAGTGTTCAAGGCCAGGTTGGATAGGGATTTGAGCAACCTGGTCTAGTGGAAGGCGTCCCTGCCCATGGCAGGGGGGGGGGATTAGACGATCTTTAAGGTCACTTCCAACCGAAACCATTCTACGATTCTGTGACTCCGCTTTCACAGAAGATGCCTGACTTAAACTTCTCAAACTTCTTAAAATGGGAAATGTGTTCTCCTACTTGCTTTTGCAACAAGTCGGACATTACATGGTTTTACTAGAGAAAAAAACCCGAGATGGTAGGCTCACCACATTTGGAAAGAAAACTAGTCAAATTTACATCTTTATTGAAAAATTTCAGGCTCATTGAATTGATACTTTGTTCGGTAAGTCTCTGGCTCAACATTTTGCTAACAACAGCGCAGGTTTTAGCAGAATCATGCCGGTGGTACTAGTGGATTAACCCACTGTGTGACACCCAGCTCCTTCTGGGACCTGCAGTCCAGCTCAGACTATCAGGAGTGCTACGAAGCCTTCTCTGAAGTGAACCCGAGAACCAGTTTCACTGAGCAGCTGCAGGTCCTGCATGAACTGCACTGGTTTCAGATAATTTAATAGTTAAAAAATGAAATCCACAAACTCAATGCATTAACAAGACGATGTTAATAATAAGCATTTGCCTTAGCTAAAGCAGCAGAGAAACCACACAGCTTCTGAAATCAAAGTCCTACTGAGAATCAGCAATACCTAGTCTCAGGTTTAAGCTCCCTATAAAGCTTTAAACACTAATGAAGTCTTCAATAACAAACTACTGCTGAGTTGCAAGCCACAGGCGTTAAGCCCAGTTCCTCCTCCCTTCCCAGTCTGTTATTAGATATTATACAGGCCATTAACTGCTTGCTTATAAAAAAAACGTGGCAGGTTAACCGATGCAGTACGTCAGTACCTACCATAAAAGAAAGGTAGTACGCTGGTCCTACATGATCTGTCTACTGTTGGCTATATGTACTAACAAGCAGTCAATTGCTCAGAGTTGTTCCTAATATTGTTCCTGGTCATTTGCTCAGT